CTGCTTCAAATCTATTGATCAATTTGTCTGATTACCATTAGTTACAGACAAATCCAAACACCATCACATCGATCAATGTCTGCCGTGTGATGCTCAGCGTGCAGCGGCGGCGGCCTGATATGTGCTCCGAGAACAGCTGATTGCTCGATTGGAAGAGAAATCCTGCAGCAACACATACGATCACCGCTGAGTAATTTTTCCTCCTGGTTAAGCTGCAGCACGGCGTCCACCCAGCGGGCTGCGTGCACGGTGGCCGCTGTTAAACACATCCTGCTGCCTGGTGTCGGCTGCTGCTGCTGCTGCTGCTGCTGGGACGTAGCCAGACTTGTCAGCTAGCTCAAGATCACTTTCACTTTAAATGGATCACAAAAGGTGATTTCTACTCGCGGGCGTTTGGTGCGCAGCTCGGTGGGGAGCAGGGAGGAACAAAGTGTGAACCATCAGTTCTTACAGCAACAGCTGGAGTCTATCCTCCTTGGGTAAAATTACAGAAACCCTCCTACAGAAAATGTGAAAAAGAAGATTAGCGAGGAGTGCGGATCTGACAGCTACTAAAGTGTGGAAGTAATTTTATTAAAATTAGATGTCAGTGAAATGTGAATCCTCCTCTAAATGATTACTGGTGATTGTGATTTTTTCTTTTTTTTCCCCCCTAATGGGAAAAGGCGTCTATTACAATCTAAATAATTTTACAGAATTAGGATTCATCGCTGTGGACTCCTCAGAATCTTTTGGCTACTCGCGGCCGTATTGCTGTCAGTATTTTCACAAAAATACTTGAAGTGGTTTTACTTTTTAAGTCTCCTCCTGGCAAATGAATGCAGATTATATCCAAGTTGAGGATCTGTGTGAGAGGTGTGTTAAAAGGTGTCAAGTAGCAATTCATCAGAATGGAAGACCCGGGATCTCACAGGCCCTTTCAAGCTAATAACCGTGAACCACGATGACAACGAGATCGACGCTCGCCTTTTCTGCCACTTTTGTGTTTTAATCTTGTTAGTACCGACTGATTCTGGCAGTAAAAACAAAAACTGACACACTCTGCCTCACATAGCGCCTCGTGGTCTGCAGCGAGCAGAAAAACTTGAGTGTGGATCAGTGCATGGAAGTGTGAAAGGGTTCAGAGGGAAAGACAGCAGGGGGTCTCCAGCCCTCCTGGGTGCTTTGTAGAGGCTATAACAGACAGTGAGGAGCATGGGTGTTGACAGGGTCCCAAGTGAGTGCTGTAATGTGCTGTACATCTCCATTTGCACTGAGTGTTTTGGAGCTGCTTGCATGAGTGTTGTAGGTAGATGCTCCCCAGTCTATAAAAACAACATCACTCTGCTTTTTTTTTTATTGGCTCAAATACTTTATAGCATTATCCAGGCTTCGTGCAGCTCCGTAGAAATATATATTTAAATGTAAAATATGCCTTTTAATCACACAGCTTGTTAGAAATAAAATATATGAAGTACTATCTGTATTTCACCGTAAGTAATAATGTTATACGTTATGATAAAAAGTAAATCTAGCATTAGTGAAAGTATATCATGCATGGATTAATGCAGCATTAAAATGAACCTGTGTGTGTGTGTGTGTGTGTGTGTGTCCATACTGCATGTGTTGTAAGTGCTGGGAGAAATAAAGAGAGCTCTTTCAAGTCCAGCCTGTCTTTTACACCTTGTGTATTTACACATCAGACATCTGAGCCGTCTGGCTCGCCCTCTGCAGTCTGACCGCAGGTCGGCTGCTGTTGTACACTATTGTACAGTCAGTGGATCGAGTGTAACACGTTTCTTGTTTAACTTAACGCAGGACGTATTTGCTGAAATGAAAGACCTGTTAAAGTTTCTAAATTACAAAACTACAGCAGAACAAAGGTGGAAGCTGAACTACGTTTTGCAGATATTCCAGTTCTTCTCCTCTGTGTGTGTGTCTGTGTGCTCGCTAGCCGAGTCGCAGTGGAGCTGCAAGTTGGTTCTATTTATCAAATACCAGCATCTCCTTGAGAGGGAAACAGATTGCGTGCTGGCCTGCTACAGACTTCATCAGGTCATCTGAATTGATGATACATGCTGCAAGACGGCCGAGTTCCCCCGGAAACCTCTGTTGGAGCGCGTGCTGGCAGAGACGGGGGCCTCAGCCAAGTCTGTCTGACTGATCACTACAGATGCTCCTCTTCAAGTATTCCGAGTCAGATCCTTAGTGCTTGGTCTTGAGGGACAAACAATAGCACCTGTTCCTCATAAGATAGCCCATTCATGTATCTTTAATGAAGCCTGGGGGCAGATGGTGTGAAATGACATTATCCAGTACTTAGCAGTGCTAAGACAAAGGAAGAGCAGTGCCAGCACAACAATGCTGCTTTATTTACGACGAGCAGGGAGGACGCTGCCCGAGTGCCCCACTCACATCTGCTCCACTTCATTCTCCGACTCCTCAAGATCATCTTGGCAATAGAAATATCCTGGGCACTCAGCCCATACATAGATGAACTTGAGGGTAACTCTTAAAGGGGGGGTTGGGTTTGTAGCACCAGAGCGAAGCCACAAATCCATACACACTTCATCCTGCCTCTGCTTTTTTAACTCTGCATTTACATTTTTTTTTTTCTTCTATTACGTTGTCTTTTTTTTTTCTTCTTTTTTTTTTTAATAAAAGGAAAAAATGCTATCGTGTGCTCAGCCACTGTGCCAGCTGTTAATTGACAGCTCAACTAACCTCCACTATTTGTTGCCACCTTGAAGCTCCTCAAAATTTGATTTGCCTTTCTCTGACATTAGCTGCTGTAAATTAAACTTTAATGCGTGGAGCTTATTACTGCAAATCACAGCCATTCAAACTGGATGCATTTATTTCCCCTTCAACGCACATTCCTGCTGTCCTGCCTCACTGAGTGTTGTCTACATTTTAAAATAATAAAAGCAATAAAAGCTGATATCCCAGAAGAAATTATACCATTTAGAGCTTATTATTTAACACGTCTTGTGCTGATGCTTCATTGTGCGTCGTGGAGAAAACCTGAACATCTCTTGTACAATTCAGTTTTAATAATTAATGTCGTTGCATTTGTCCTTTTCAAATAATTAAAAGCAAATAAATTATACAAGTGCATGAGTTATAGTTAATGTTTAAACACTTTTTTGTGTTTTTCCTCAAGCAAAGCAACCGTTTTCCTTTTTCCTGTTTTTTTTATTTTATTTATATAATTAGTAAATTGAGTATTTCTACCATTAGACCATTCTTCTATTAAGATGTTTTATTTTAACTGTTAATGCGATCAACTCTATTTATACATAAAATAACTCTTAAATTCCTGCTGATGCGTGTCAGCTAATTCCTGAGAAAACACGGACTACCCTGCTACACATTTGCAGCACGCTTACAGGGACGGGGACTTGAGGGAGTCCTTTCCTGCCGTACATTCAGCAACAGACTCCATCTGTTTTAACAGTCCAAATACACAGACAGAGAAAAGCTGTGTTCCCCTGTGTCCCCCCCTCCCGCCGCCTGTCACTGGCCCTACCTCATGTTGTGACATTAATTATTGTGTTTTTCCATATGTTCCATACATGCAAGGCCAAGCTCCATCTTTCATCCGTTCAGCCTGGAAACTTGGAACACAAATCCCTATAAAGCAATGTTTTATTTAAGGACATTTGTCGCAGTCTCCTCGGCCATTTATTTTTCTCCGGCAACAGCATATTTTGCAGAATTACTTTTGGAAGAATTACATACTTTTCTATTCTTCCATAATGCACTTTCTGCACTTGCACTTCTGTAAAAGCTCAGTAGACATAAAACGGTTCTATTTATTTAGTTTTCAGTCTAGCTTTGCACCTCTGGACAGATCAATAAAGTTGTTTTAAGTAGGTTTGGCGTGCTGGCGCTGAGAGAAGCTGGGTGCAGCCACTCCTGGAAAGGGTCTACAGGGGGAGCAGCATCGGCTGAAAAAGTGGAGATCATAGCAGAGCTCAGCCAGAACATGGGACAGGTTGATTTCATGCCCCAATGCAGCGGCAGTAATTGCACCCAGACCCGTTTTATTGCGAGTTGATTTTAAGGAGGGATGAATGGAGAAACATTCTGTAAAGTGTTTATTTTGGGGGATGACCTTTATTAACCCATTTTCCAGGCGGGTTCCCCTGAGGTGATCTGGCTCGGTGCTGGATTAACCCTCGCAGGCCCGTGCTAGCCAGGCTGCTCCCTATCATGGGGTTTCAGGAAGCAGAGGATGACAGTAAAATTGGACCTGCAACATGTGTGCAAACCCCCACACACCACTTTTGAGACATGAGCTACTCACTCACCCCTGACACACAAATGCAGGGAGTTTGTGTTGATATTCCCAGTAGGCGAGTCAGCAACAGGCTGGATGGTGAAGGTTAGTGTGTGAGTGGAGCACAGAGAGAGAACGACGTTAAGATGAAATACAGGGAACAGCGAGCGCTTCTCAGCTGCCTCTTCTGTTTTACTCTGCTGAGAACAGTCGTCGTAAATTACCGGATTGTCTTTGGGCTTTTATCAGCTAAATAAACGATCATCCAAGATTATGTGAGTAATTGATCTTCCCCTGAGGTCAGTGCGTGTGTTTGTGCTGATCAGCTCTGCACCTGTGTAATACATTCAGCAGCCATCTTGCTGACAAGCTGCATGTGCTGCAAACAGCCGTGGCGACGGCGAACGCTTCCTTTAACGTCTCCACAGAAGCCGTACGAACCCTCTGCGCCTCCCTGCTCGCCGTCCTGTATGTCACTTCCTCAGACTGACGCGGGAACAATGTGCGTATGCCGAGGCCTTTGATGTACCAAGGTGAAATTGTGGTTTGGATTAAGAGCAGGCATGGCCCGGCCAGGTATTGTGTGAGCACACGAGGGCCGTCATTGCCGCAGAGCGCCCTGTCAGCACGCGTTAGGAGGAGCTGTGATCTGGCCTCCCCCTGAGCGGGCTCTGTGTTTCTGTGTACCATGCCGATGCTTAGGCCTCTCTCTGATCTCTGCTCCCTATCTGTTCAGCAGGTCCAGGGTCACATGCCTCCGCTCATGATCCCCATTTTTCCACACGACCAACGCACTCTAGCAGCAGCAGCTGCCGCCCAGCAAGGCTTTCTCTTCCCTCCGGGAATGTCTTATAAGCCAGGTATGCTTGCAAATTAAACTGTTTTTGTCATTGTGTCCTTCTTCTCCTTTCAGCACTACGCCGTGATTTGCAATTATATTTTTCTCGACTTAAAGTTGTCAGCCTTGGATGCACAGCAAAAAAAAAAAAAAATAGTGCTTCATTCACACCCAAAGTTCTTGGCATGCTCTGCTCTGTCTGAACTTGGATTGGAGACCAAGGTCTTGGAATGTTCTAGTCCATGTGGAACAATAGATATGGGTAGAGGAGCACAGGAATGTAAACACGTTGTCAACATGAAAGTATCCTTCAGGGCTGTGCTGCCTATAATCGTTTTTCAAGTATCCACCGTTAGAGATCCAACAACACAGGAGCTGAGCGCTGCTATTGTTATGAGCCGAAAAAAGCAACTCCTCCTCAATTACAGTTTCCCACAATCATGTCTTGTGATAGTGAAATTAAGTAATTAAAAAGGTGGATAGTTGGTGGATGATGTAAGAACAGGTTTAGCTCCACGTATAACTGTTTTTGTTGCCTGTAACAACACGCCTTGTTCTCTGCCTTTGTCTTTTGGATCGAGTAGAAAAGAAGCTCCGCCACCTTCAAAACAAAACAAAAAAAAAAAAAAGAAGAGTTTTTTGAAATAGTTTCAACATGTCGACTGATGCCCTGCCAAACCTCTAACACTCCCATATCCTCATAGAAAGTAGAGATGAGCTACCACGTACTACTGTACCCGTCACAACTACAACAAAAAGATCCGTGCATCCCAGTCCGAGCTTTCCACTTCACAAAGCCGACTCGGTTCCAAGCTATTAGGTAGTCAATCAAATTAAACTCAATTTATCCACCAAAAAAAAAAAAGTTTTCCTATTTTCACTCCCACGCGAGCAAATAGAAAGAGACAGTGTTATGTTGATGAAACCCTCGCTGTTAAAAAGAAAAAGGATTTATGAGTCAGCCGGCGAAAGGAAAGTCCTTGTCTGCCTCAGAACAGAACCAGAACACGGACGAGGGCTGAAATTTGAAAAAGAAACAGTGGGGCTGTCAGCAGGTTCGCAACACAACATTAAAAGGTGTGGTAGTGCAGTTAATGAATTAACTATAAAACCACAGGATGAAAAAGAAAGTCAGCTATTTTGGAACTATGGAGCCATGACAGCTTAAACAAAATGCCTGAGGGGGAGTCTTTTACCACTGTGCTTCTCGCAATAGGTTTGACACGGAAAATGTTTTAGTTCAAATAACAGGAGCTATTATGGAATCATGGTCAGGGGTCACCATTTGTATGGCTCCTGCATTATTCATGAGTTCACCAAGAAATGGCAAGAAGGGGGTTTGAAAATCACTCTTGTAGTCAGGAGAGGTATTTTCAAAGCCTTTATTATTTCTCCCCGTCCGACACGACGCACACAATATACCCGGAGAGGACAATGTTATCGTCACCACCTGCAGGGCGGACGGGAAGCTCTTCTCCATGAAGCCAGTGGCCAAGCATTCACTTCCAACACTAAGGCAGCGCTAATCTGATGTTATCATTATGAGACGACTCCCAGGGACCGCTGCTTATGACCCCACAACCCTGTGGCGCTCACATGGCAAGCAGAGTCATTCTGGCACCGTGGTGGTAACCCATCACCCCGTCCGCTGGCTGTGCTCAATGGCCCGGTGCTGCATGGTAGACAGGCACAGCCGCAGAAGCACCAAGTCATCTTTAAAACAAATAGATTCGAGTTCTATTCGCGCTGTTTACACGGACGCGGCGGCGTTCGGTGTGAGGTGCCTCTAATGGACCTGCAGAACGAGCCCATAGTCTTTAGGCTCGTCTGCCGGTCTTCCTCATAGACGTCCTGCTGACAGCTGATAGTCTCCTCGCGCCGTTTTATTTTATTACTACATTAATCTGTCCTCTGATATCGTGGCATCAGTCGTCAAGCTGGACGACGTGGGTTTCACAGGTTTAGTAATCAAAAACATGAAACTTTACGCGCGTGTTTATTTTCGTGTAAGTCTTTAATTTACTGTCAAAAGTCTGCGAAAAGAGACGATCAAGTCTGAGGGCTGCAGTCATAAAGTTCATTTATCATCATCCGATCTGCCCTAAGAAAGGTCTCGGCTACATCTGTCAACCCTCAGCAGATCTATGACTTATATTTCATAGCGCCACATGAGCGGGGAAATATAGCCTGTTGTGACCATGGCGTCACCTGCACTACCCCCTCCCCGCCCCCCAGGCTTCAGCATTTCAGAACCCGGGCTCCGGGCATGGAACCAGCCGGCTAAAAACAAGAAGAAAAAAAAACGTTTCAAATGTAATTTCTCTCCACTAGTGAGTGACGCCAACCTGGCCCGGTGCCTGTTCTCCTGGAGTCTGTTGCCTCCAAGTAGACTGTGGAGCACCCCAGACCTAGACCTCGGAGCCTGAGACCCCCCTTCCCGCCGCCAACCCCCCCAAGCAGTCGTAGCACATGACCCTCCCCAGGTTTCACATGACATCCAAAGACATCCAGCCATTTATTATCCCCAAACCCTACGTCACGGACAGAGCGAACGAGGCCGGGGGAGAAAGCGATACCAAAAAAAGAGGAGGTGTAGAAATAACCACAGTGTACCTCCATACATCCAACCTAGCACTATTTGAAACCACTTCTGCTGTGTGATTTTATTTGCTACTAAATGGGGATTGAATTTCCATGGCCCGTATCACATTGTGCTGCGCTGTACAAGATTGCGAGGGGAGGCGAGCAGACGAGGGCAAAGTGAAAGAGAAGGTATATACATTTACCTTGTCTGTGGCTTAATGGCTCCATATGTTTGTGAGGAGAAGTGACAGGCAGAAGTGGGGTCTGAGCGAAGGCCAACTACCCCCTCCCCGCCTCCCCCTCCTCCGTCAGACACATGCCTCCGCCCGACCTCCCCTCTATGAATGCCGCGCTGGCCCGTCTCGCTGGGGATGTTCTGTCCGTCTCCACACACCGGGCTGAGTGTGTAAAAGCTCCTGCACCCCCCACGGACATCACTCACGCTGCAGCCGTTTTTATATGTGCGTCTGACAAACGTGCTGATGGCGGGCCAGCAGCGGTGAATAGCGACGAACAGCGCCGCTATTTGAAGACCGATTCCTTCTTGTTTGATCACAGTGATATGTGAGATAAGAATGTGTGCGTTTTTTTTTTTTAACCCTTGTTATTGTGACTGCACACTTGTTCTAACTAGTTTGCATACAAGTGCTGCCAAAGCTATCAGCGAGAAACAAACAATGTCGTGTCGAACAATAGCCAGACAAGTCCACAGCTGTACGAACCGCCTGAGAGAACATGCTGGTGCTTTTACATAATCGCTAACTGAATACCAGATATTTCACATCTAATCAGAGCGCGCACACACGCTCATCGACACACGATCTAAACCTTAACTTGTTTAGCTGTGTGTTAGCCACTGTTGTCATGGTGTTCTCCAGGGTGAGTAGTGCACAGGTGGAATAAGGAAGGTGAATGGTGTGAAATGTTCCTTAGCAATCCTGTTCCAGTCCAACCACCTTCGCCTTTTGTTAATGCAGATGTTTGGGCTTGAAGCCAGGGGCTCGTTGCAATGTGCCACATTGCTGTGGCAAAAGTAGTGCAGGGCCCAGAATCTGTGTTGGCACTTGCCTGGTCGCTGTGGGCCGGCTCATTGTCTGAACCTGTGTGCATTGTCGTCTCTCTCTCTCCCCCCACCTCCCTGACAGGTGATAACTACCCGGTGCAGTTCATTCCATCCACAATGGCAGCTGCAGCAGCGTCAGGACTCAGCCCCCTCCAGCTTCAGGTATGTACAGTACTATGACAAAGAATGCTAGGGACGCTCGCCAAGCTCAGGGCAGAAAGGATGGCTAAGCAGCTGTACGCTAAGTAATGAGCTGCACACTAAATAATCCTGGAGGCCCCCAGCTCACACACGCTTATCACCTTACATATGTAATTTATCCCATTTTATAGAGGATTTATCCCCACTAGCTCTGCCAGACAGAGGAGTTGGGAAGATAATAGTTATTAGAGAGAATGAGAATCACTCTGGTTGCCTTAATCGCCTGCCAGTGAATTTATCAGAAGACAATTGACTGTGTAAGAATGTCCTTCTTATTGCTTTTATCCAGCAGGATCCCAGCTCTATTTATTCTATGTCTATGAGGGAAAACAATTAAGAAGAAAGATCATTTGCCTGTGATAAAAAAAAATAGCTCAGCACTTTGTGTGTAAAACAAAGTGGAGCTGAGTGGGGGGGTTCTGAGCCACAGAAAATACTGAGATAGGTTCCAAGCCCTACGGGCACCTCCAGGACTTTTCTCACAGAGCATTTAAAGGAGCTGAACCCAGGCCAGAGCCTAACCTGAGGCCATAATGTTTAATGTGAATAATTATCTGCATTCTACGGTTCAGATTGTTGCGATTATAAACACCACGGTTACCAGGGATTCTCTCAGCCCGTGCCCCATCCTTGTTTCCAAATTGGTGATAATGGGTGGCAGTGCTGCTTGTTGCTTCTTTAATTATCAGTTTCCTTCACAGTTCTGAGTAATTGTAGATCTTATGTCTGTTTGAAGCTAGAAATCAGCACTGTTCTGTGGAGACAAAAGGAGCAAACACAGTATCTGTGCTAACATATAGTTAAGTGGCCGCTGCTGCTTTGTCAACAGCAGCACAAAGTTGCTTAATAGCACAACATGTGATGCTCGAAGAAGTGAGACAAGATTTTTAAAAAAGAAGTAAAAAAAAAAATAAAGGAGAGAGACAGAGCTGAAGACTGAGGGGGGAAACTCTCACACGCTGATATATGTGGCGTTTGTCCTTCGGAGGCTACCACTGTCAGTGTTAACGAGCCTTGGCAAGTTCTAACAATGCATGCAGCTGGCTCTGAAGAGCTGTGCGTCATTATGCAGCCACGAGAAGAGCTATCAGAGGCATGTAAGGTGTTAAATGAGTCTGCTCATGTTTGAAGACGTGTGTCTGTAAGAGCGAGAGAGAGACAGAGGCTGCGTTTGTGTCTCCGGAGCTCAGTTTGTGTGCCACGGCGAGGTCCACTGGAAAGGAGTGTCGGTTCAGACAGGCATGCCCGGGCTATTTATAGGGGTGTATGAGGTCAGATGAGACAGTCATATATCTGAAGGTTGGGGTGAGAAGGGGAGACGGGTCGAGAGTCATTAATTCTGACTATGTATCTAACCCTGGGAACGGGCAAAAACAGTGCCTCCACGACCATGACTCGGCTGACCTTTACAGAACACAGTAAACAAAAAGAGGTGCATTTTCCATTAATTGAAGTCTGTCAGCCTGTCACATATTCCGCCTGCTGGCTGCTATTTACTCTGCATAGAAATTCCCCTTAAAACAGTACGGCAAGTCAAACATGCCCTTTCCTACATGGCTGGGATCAACAAGCGATGTGACTGCCGCCACTTCCTCTACAAAGCACCGGCAGCCTGGCATGATTAAAAACATCATATCAGCCCAGACACGGAATTAAGTTGGAGTTGTTTGATCCCTTTCTCGAGCAATAATAGCAGCGGCAACCTCCTTCGTCTTCGAAATTAAAAGTATTGAAAAGTGCACCTAAACGTGTTTTTGACCGAGCAGAAAAGGAAAAAAAAAAAGTTCCTCTGATACAGAACAACATGAGGAGATGCGTTAGGTCCACTGCTGTAATGCAGCTAAATGGAATATTTGGAATAAAAGGTGATTAAAAAATAAAATAAAAAGCCCCTCTGCATATATTATTTGTTACTTATTAGGTTTATAATTTATGCATCATCAAGCACAATTCTCCATTAACCCCTTGAACTAGTCGGAAATGTTCTCGTTTTCACTTTCAAACCCATTGTTTATCTTCTTTTTTTTTTTTTTTACGCTCACGGATACAGAATCCGACACACACGGCTGAATAGGCAGCCCTCCTCAATTAAAATATCTCTCGCTGTCAGCTGCATGGCAAGGTATAATTTTCGCCAATTTACTCAGTTTAGATTGTGCAATATATGAACCTTAAAAAATTATCCTATTGGTAGAATTAATTCCCACAATGCCGCTGAGGTAATGTGATCAGCCATCCAGCCGGAGAGGCTAGCCGCTCCGTCAGTCTTAATGTTGGCCACGCAGCCTCTTCACAATCTCCTGTGTCATAACAGTCTGGGATCCTCCCCCATTCCCCGCCCTCTCTCTCTGAGAGAAGAAAACCCAACAAGGTAACAAAGGCTTAGAGCTGATGGATGTAAATGAATCTTGCAGGATGCGTTTGAGTGTTGGGAGACTGTAATTTGCTTGTCAATACAGGGTGGGTAGCATCACTCTGGTGGGCTGGCAGTCTGCAAGTGGCTGTCACCAGGCATCGCTGTACCACGGGGCAATTTCACTCAATGTTTTCCTGACAGATTGGCTCTGGTCTGCAACTCACAGGAGAGGAGGCGGGTAAACTATCCCAGCGCGACATGCCCCTCTTCATTAGTGCCCACACAGAGCCGGGATGAGCCGAGGACCAGCAGGAAACAATGGCTCCATCCCTGCCTGTCCTTCACTGATTACAAGTGACACGTCTCACCTAACAGAAGAAATTGTGCTCAGATTGTACCCCAATCTGTCCCCCACACCTACTGCATTCAATCGAGGCGGAGAGGCAAGAAGGGCATTTCCCTAATTCCACAAAAGAATTTTCTATTTGGGACAGCATTTAATTTGCTGTTTGTACACTATTCCTCGCTCCAGTTGCCGAGTGAAAAACTATTTACTTAAGGAGAATATGGGCTGACTATACATCGCCTGTCTCTCTTCATACAGAGCCGGCCAACAGTAGGACAACCTGCGACAAACTCCTGTTGTGTTTTTCTATCATTGGAAGCAGACTTTGGAGTTTAGGCCATTTTAGAGAAAGAATTATTGGATAAAACAGAACATCTGGGTCCTCAGTATGTAGAATCACAGTAAATAGAAACCCTCTGCTCTCACTCAGTCAGAGCTCCCTTTTCTATCTCCTGCTTTTCCAATTTCCAGTCCACATCTTAAACCATCTCTAAGTGTCTTAGTTTGTGTATTTCTCTCTCAATTATCCCCCTCCTCTTTTTTCTGTGTTTGTCTTGCCTTTTTTTTTTCTCCCCCCACCCCAGGCCCATGACATCCTCATGCTTTTACTGTGCTGAAAGTCGAGCCGCTCCAGATAAGACTTAACGCCGCAATTACATTTCGCCACATTTGCCACGGCATCTCTCTAGGCCCGTGATAAACCTGGGCCCGGCCTCGGCTCACGCTCCCCACTGTCGAGATGAAAAGCAGCCCGTACGCTTAGCAACAACCAGATCTCAGGCAGACAGACACATCTGAAGGAGTACTCACTGGCTTAGACGACTGGAGCGATAAGAAAGAGTGTTACACAGTCAGGGACAAACAGGAAGAAAGTGGGAGAGCAGCAAACCGCACATTATCTTTTGTTTGGATGTAAATGCCTGTGTAGTACAGATGTGAAGAAACAGCTTCTATCATTAACAAGTGAAGCACTTTTGACTTTGAAAGAGAGGGAGAGAGAAGGAGAGGGGGGGTGGAAAGAGAGAACAGACATACTGTAGAGAGCAGCTGTTTCTGTGTTTATGAGCAAAGGAGCTCGGTCTTTGAAGGTAACCCAGAGCAGTGCAGCAATGCTAGAGAGTGTGGAAGGCTGGCTAATAGGACGGCTAGGTGAGCAGCTGGATGGAGGCAGTGGTGAACAGAGGGACAGATGGACAGATAGAGTGGATAATGCAGTGAGCAGCAGTGAATGGGAGGGCTGGCTCTGGGGCCCCTGGGCCTGGACTACCCACACCCACACTTACACAAGACAGACTGTGATTGTGGGCATATATGCCAAAGAGAAACCGAGAGAGAAGGATGCAAACGTATATACGCTAGCTGTACGATAGAGGGAAAAAGGCAAAGGAGAGGGGGGGAGGAGGGGCTGGAGCAGAGCAGGTTGGGTGCCAGCAGATGAGACAGATGTTGAGCCATACTGGAAAGCATCGGCACAGTGCACCAGGACGCCTTCCTCCACTCTTTGACATCTGGGCCTAGCCTGGGTCAGCCTGCATGGTCGCCCTGGGCAATGAGCCTGTACAAGCCTTGTGGCAAACGGGGCTGGCGCTGTGCTGCGTTTTAAATGGCGTGGTGCACTGAAGCACAGTTAATGCCCTCATATCCAGTCCAGCGCTCAGTGCCCAGGCCAGGCAGAGGTGAACGAGACGCTGACGTACCGACAAACACAAAGAGACGAGTCTGTTGAAGATGCCCGCCTCATATACAGGAGGATGCTGTAACTGCAAACTGTTTTTGTTTTTTGTCATCAAGTTTGTATTTGTGCACGCCGCAGTTCTAAATGTGCAACGCACCATTATCGCTGGCAGCAAGAAATCTGACAAATATCTGCTGCACATATTGCCATGCTGAGACTTTGCCCGCCTTAAAAAAAACACAAGATGCACATTTGGTTTCCATCAGAGCTTCTATGTAAAGGACACGGCACATGCTCCCCACATTATTCCCTATAATCGATTCTAATGTACACCCAGCCATAGTGTCAGCTTTAACCAAACAAACAGAGGCCGCCTGTCTTGATTGCATATCACAGTTCTGAGATGTCTAACATCATCAGCAGAGTGTGTAATCTCAGTTTAATGTCGCAGGCAGAAAAGTGAACCTCCCCGTTTAACCTCTGCTGCCTCCAGAGGGCTTGTTTTTAATTACCAGAGGCTAACAGGCTGACCTTGGGCGTGCTGCACTCACTTTGAATCCATGCTTGCTGAGATCTGCTCTGCTCTACTGGGAAACGAGCAACGAGGAGGTCAGAAGACAGACCTCAGGTTTAGCGTTTGCTTGTCTTCTCATTTATATGTGTTGTTTCTGTAATAAGAAATAGCTCACTGGGAAGTTATACACACATGCAGCATTTTAATTATTATGGCAAATGGCATTCTTTTTGGATTTAAAGTAAGATACTACACAAGCACATATTTCTCTTTTGCTGGTTTCTAACGTCCTCACTACAACTCTACCTGCTACACATCATCGTACAAGTCGTCGCTTATTGTGCTGTGAGAGATGTGAGTTCTGAAAGCTGTGATCAAATGAATTAAAACAACAAGTGTTAAGAGTGCAGAGGGGGCAAAAAAAGAAGGAGAAATTGGAAACACAAGCTCTACGAAGGCTTTCACCTTCTTCTCCAGCACCCCAGAGTTGGAGCTTTGACTTTCAGCTTGACCCTCATTACCATGAACCTTTTACTGCCCCCACCTGGCAAGTAGATATGAAGAAGGTGGTGCTGGATGTGAGAGAGTCAACTGAGGGAAACAGGCAGATGTCTGCTGCTTAGGGAGACCGGTCTTGGCAGAATGCATCATCTCGCCGCCGTCGTGTTCATTATACTGACAGCTTCGGGAGGTTGTTGTTTCTAATTCAAGCTTTTGCCCCGATATCAAACAACCCTGTAACACAGTGTGTATTTACAGTTTTGGTTTTTCTTACTTTACCACAAAAGCCAAAATAATAAAACCTCCAGACACACATTCAACACACATGTTTCCTGTCTGTCCTTGAAGAAGTGCATGCAGGGTGAGCGCACCTTTCGTCCGTCTTCCCCCTTGATTGTATTTATTGTTCTTTGGCTCTCAGAGTGTTCCTGGTCACAAGGGCAACCGCCGCTTCTCACCCCATGGCACTGACCTGCTAATCAGTGCTGGCATCCTGACTGTGTGCAATTTGAAGCAAAGTCTAATTATGCTCCTTTTCCGGAACAATAAAGTTCTTCCCACTCAGGTCAGAGTCGTGCCCATCAACAAGCCTGTTAGCAAACATCTGTCCAACAGACTCGTCGACAAAGACTTCCATGTAGCCCGGAGTGACAAGCGCTAAATGGAGACTCCTTCCTTTCTCTCTCTCTCTCTCTCTCTCTTAACCCGCACACACACACTCTCAGACACACCGAGTGCCCCTTACCACTGACATTAACCAAGTTTCACTCAGATGAGAAGAAAACAGAGTTCGGGCCGCTCCTGTGCCCGATCCCGTCGCACACAAAAGGCTGTTTGTGAGGGAGGTGGAGGCAGTGCTATCATTGTGGGAACATAATCAGTCTGTCATTTCCGCTGCCCATGTGCTGTTGTTATCCCGAGGTCCCCTGGAAGAATGGACCTTTTGTACTGTCGCTTATGTGGCAGCGATAAAGTTTCTTACAGGAGCACATGTGTGTTTATATCTGCAGATATGTGCATGGACATAAAGCGCTTTGTTAGGCTTTAGTCTTCACTTAAACTGCCAAAGGTGAGGACTGCGGGGCCGGGTTGCTTTCCCCCCCCAGTCCACACAAATGCAGTCTGTATGTTGCCGGTGGAACCAGGAAATGAGACAAGGTTTGCTGATTGGCCAGCGGAAGAGAAATTAGATTCTCTGTGACAGCACCATCTGACTGAATAACACAACAAACCATAAGGTTTACCCGGTCTGGGGGAGTCCAGGGGCGCTATCTGTCTGATGAAGTGAGGTCCGGGGCGATGTGGAGGAACACATTTTCTCAGACAGTAGCTCCATTTGACAGACCCGACCATTTGCAGCAGGGGACAAAACCCAATTCCATCACTTACCTGGTGGCCAGTCGATACAGAGCTGGAGAGAAGTCTCAGCGGCGCAGGAACCAACGCTGGGCTCTGTAGGCACAGAGAAAGAAACACAACAATAAGAATTTAAAGAAAATTAGTCCCAGATCTAGAAGATAGATGCACAACTTGACGTCAAGACTGTCAAACGTAACTTCATCCAGGATAAAGGATAAATTACTGCCCAAGATGTGATCCGTCAGACAATTAGCAGTCTGTGGCTCACCAGATTTTTTTAATACTCCTAACTCCAATACTAGAAGGGGTCGTGTTTAACCACATAATCAGCCCGGTGGTGTAATGTAAATCGAGCTTTCGGAGCTCAGCCCCGTTCGAGGCACAACTGTTGTTGAGCGCTTTGCCAGTCGTGCTCGTGTGCGGCGATGTCACCGGTTGGAAATCTCACTGATTTAACACCAAGGAAAATAGCAGCGACTGCATCGCTTCTTTGTGCAGGTTTCTAAGCCTTCATAATGTGCGTGTTTAACACACTCTGTGATGACAATCCAACTGAGGTCGGTCGTGGAACAGGACCCATCTCAACATGGCCGCGTGGAGACGAATCACGGGCCAGAAACTTCAATAGGAAGTTGTGTAGATCTTGAGAAACGAGAGATCTTTGCTAACACACTTGCATCCAGTCGGCAAACTTTTCTCTGTGATGAGTGGAAAATAGGGGCTCCAAGTATTTTGAATGAAAGCCATCTCTGTGTGGTTTTTAAGACTGCTGTCTCTCTCTGGGTTCAGCCTTTGAAATACAGTTAAGACCTTTGATGGAGGTTCTCTGCCAGCCTCATGGAAAGAGAGGAAAGACGTAAAAGAGAGGGGGGGAGATGAAGGCAGACAGAAGCAGAGAGAGAGAGAGAGAGAGAGTTCTAGGGAGAGGAAAAGACAGAATATAAAACTTTGAATGTTTGCTGGATTTGGATGTTAACGCCTTGCGGGTTTCTCCTCCTCCCTACAGCAACTGTATGCCGCCCAGCTTGCCAGCATGCAGGTCTCTCCTGGAGCCAAGATGCCTCCACTCCCCCAGCCCCTCAATGCAAGCGGGCCCATTTCCCCCTCATCTCTGAAGAATGACAAGAGTTCCTCCAGCCCCATCACTCAAGTCAAGGTACAGCCCACAACTCCTCCAACCAGCCCACCCAGCAGCAGCACCCGGGCCTTGAGTGGTACTTGACCCGGCCTAGCGTAGCCGGTGTTGTCTGAATAAACTAGCACCTACAATGTTCGCTGCTTCAGCGCTGCAGCCGGCCGGTGGTGAGCCCAGCCTCTAACAGGCCATCAATCTCTGGGGCTTTAACAAGGCCCTCTCTCTCCTAACCAGAAGTCTGTGGACATGGTTGCTATAGCTATGGCTGCTCCAAGCCAGTAATTTGTGGAACATATGTTTTTTTTTTTTTTTTCACAATGAAGTCTTTTCCTCTTTCTGCAACTAAAATGGAATAAAACCATTACAACGGAGCTTTACAATTGCTGACAAAAGTGAAGCAACAAAAAAAAAAAAGAAAAGAAAAGTGGGACTAAAATTGTTTTTGGCCTTGTAAACAAAGCAAATGCAGGAAGCGTTTTCTGCTGCTGTATGGCAGGACTCCACCAGACCTCCACGCAAAGGAACGGGCCACATACATCATCCCCACTCACTGGAGCCATAATCAGTAACATACACCCATTTGAAGTAGTTTAGCTTAATAATATCACAATGGAGAAAGGCCATAAATCATCCAGCATTCACACACTCACATGAACACATCCATCCATTCAGCCTCCTGAAACTTCCACAGCGCCGGCTTTCATCGTATAAGTACAACTCTGTTTATCAGAGCTGATGAGCAGCAGTCAGGCTCGTGGAATGAAAGTGAGAATACTACAATAACTGCCAAATGTCCCAAAATCAAGGATTTTAAATGAAATAATTCATACATAATTAAATGGATGGCAAACATACACTGGCACCCTCCCATCTCTGTCCACAGTCCAGTGGAATCAGACTGCCTTCAGTTTTGTTTGTCTGTTTTCAGCCTCACTGCATGACAAACTGTTATTGGCACAGCAATAACAAGGCCTCGGGGCAGTCTATGCTTGAGCCATATGTTTTGACAAGGAGACACTTGGGCTTTGAAAAATACTGCTAACGACAGCGTGAGCCCTAATCTGATTTAAAAGACTGTCGTGTGCGTCGGGCAGTTTATCCTGTGCAAAGTGGGATTTTTTATTTTGTCTGGGATGCAAATGTTTGAATTGTTTCTAATCATTTTATTTAATCTACTGTGCAGTTTGTCCAAGATCTTGTGATGTTTTATATTCAACGTGATCTGATTTGTGATATTTTACATGCATTACATTTAATTCCACTGAAATTCATTTATTTAGTTGAATGTTTTGATATTCACACATCGCACGGTTTAGCTTCAGGTGAAACATGCTAGGTATAAAAATAGCCCTGCTCTTCATCTCAGATCAGTTAATGGTCTAAAAGGCTCAACAAACACAGCCCCAAACAAATGCATCCTCCTCTGACCTCCTCTCAGAACCACACCACACATCAGCTTTTTTTTTTTTTTTAGGAATAGGCATATCAAAGCACATGATAAAAAACCAAAGTATGCACAAATGAGGAATGAAATTAGAAAACAAGTTAATGAAGTAGATAATGCAAGTCGACATCTGATGAATGGAACAGCTGTCTTTGATCATTGGCACCGCCGTTATCTGGTCATTATTTATTCTTCGAACCGGAGTGCAGACACAGAGAGCAGGGAGGAGGAAAAGGGAGAACAGATGAAGATGTACAGAGAGACAGAATCTGCTTTAATTAGTGTGAACAAAGGCACTGGGCAACTGTGAGGAAGATCGCAGTGGCACAGCTCCTAAGGAAGGATGGATGAGAGGGGATGAGGAGAGGAGAGGAGAGGAGAGGAGAGGAGAGGAGAGGAGAGGAATCAGGGAGGAGGTGTGGGTCAGGATCGGGATCCTATAATTAACCAGAACCAGAGGAGAACTGTGCTGTCTGGGAATCCGGAGCCCCTCCAAAAGCGAGGGCGGGCGGGGGGAAAGACCCATTCACATCTGTCTTCTCTCACACTCCTATCTCTGCTGCTGTAGGAGGAGGGAACGCAGCCCCTCAACCTGTCTGCTCGGCCAAAGACGACAGATCTGGTCAAGTCTCCCACATCCCCGACACAGAACCTGTTCCCCGGCAGTAAAAGCAGCCCCAACAGTCTTCTCGGTAAAGGTGGCATCCCCAGCCCGCTTGGAGGAGGCCTGGGACGAGGCTCATCTCTGGGTAAGACCTCAAAGCGTCTCCACAAAAAACATCCCGCAGATACACACAGACTGGCACTCACGTCCATGGAGACTATATTCCACAGCTTCGGTACTATTTCGGTACTTTTCGTGTCACAAATAAACGCCACTGTCAGGGTAATGTGTGAAGTTGTTTTTCTTCTTTGGCAGCGTGAGCTCCAGCAGACTAATTTTGCTGCGCTGTCTGTGTGCACAGATATTCTGTCCAGCCTAAACTCCACCGCGTTGTTCGGGGACCAGGACACGGTGATGAAGGCCATCCAGGAGGCTCGGAAAATGAGGGAGCAGATCCAGAGGGAACAGCTGCAACATCACCAGCAGGGCATGGAGGCGAAGCTGTCCGCCCTCACTTCAGTGGGCCTCAACAACTGCAGAGTTGACAAGGTTAGTGCTAGCATCCTATAGTCTGTCTCCATTTAATCCCTGGTTCAGGTCTTCTCCATTGCAAGCTTTTTCCGTAAAGCAGAGAAAAAGAAAGAAAAAAGAAAGCAGCTGACCACAAGAGTCCTCAGGTCTCCCTGCAAGTAGTGGAGCAAAGAAACTATTCAAGAAAGTGGAACATGGCGATTCAGATACAGCAGTAATTCTTAAGACTAATAATTTTCTTTAATCCATATCCAGGGTGGTCGTATTGATAAGAGCTGGCATGGCTCAGGCTGCACATGTATGTTTACTCAAATTAGCATGAACGTGTTTGTGTGTGCGTGTCTCGGAGCTGGTGCGTTGTTGATGTTGGTGTGAGGGCCGTGACAGGCCATGGCAGTGCCCGGTGTGGGTTAAGAACACTCTGAAGTCTCTGCCCAATTAAAGCCGACTCGCAGCCCTCTCCGTCCCCTGACACGGGATGGGGCTGCTTTGTACCAGGAGCACACACTCCCAGGGATTCCCTTTAAAAATATCTTCAATCGATGAGTCAATCAAGGAAAGAAAAAAGCTGTCCTCCTCTCTTCAGCTTGATGCCATGTTGCCAGTTGGCTGTGAGGAGCAGGCAGAAACTGGGAGCGATGCTCATTAATATTTCAGCACCTGACACTTTCAACCAACAGCCTCAACTAGGTCAATGTATATGTAAAAAAGTCAATGAATATCTATTTTGATTTCCCTCTAATTTGGTGTTTGGAAGAGATCACTGTCTATGCAGGTGGCAATCAACTATGCTCTCACTGAAGTGAAGCAAATAAATTGGTGCAGCCCACCGAGAGGACGGAGACGGAGCGCCTCCTGCACTAAAGCCTGAACAAACAGGAGCTTAACAATGACGAATTAATCCACAATCTCTTTTTTATTATGCTGACAAACAGCTGTCATGACTGTCCCTCGATTTAAACAGGCAAAAAACAAATAAATCAGATATTTTTCAGTCCTTGAGGTTTCTGTTTAGTTCCAGCACATGAAGTTTGCAGCTCCCTTAATTCGCTCTCAGTCACATGAGCGAGTGCAGCTGCCTCCCCACCTCCGAGCTAAGGTGAGCCGGTGGTCAACCACGCAGTTAAATCTGCCACGACATGAAAGCAGCAACTAAACAATGCCTGACTTTTTTTTTTTTTTTTTAAACCCAGGCAGCACACACACCTACAGCTACATTGTCCTTAGCAGGTAGAGCTTAACGCCTTTTCACTCCCCCCCGTTTGGTCTTTTGTACGATTCAGCTTTGTTTTCTTTGAATATGTCTCAACCTATGTTCACATCCAGCGTTAAAGCAGTCATCTCACAGGAGAAGAATGCCTCTCTTTATTTTTCCTAAAGGGATCATCTGCTTGAAAGAGTCGCTCGCTCCTCACCTGTAATCTACCTTTTGTGTGCGTTTGCCACCTGAGGAGAGCGAGCATGTGTTTTTATGAAAGTGAGAGAAACAGAGGCCGTGCGTGTGCGTACATGCGAGCACAATGACGGGATCATCGTATCGAAAACGCACAAAAGAAACGCTATAGAACAATAATTAGAGTAATCGGAGGAGCCTGTGTGCATGTTTCTTGCAAAGAGCGACTGATAGACGTATCTGGGAGGAGGAGGAGAAAAAAAAGCATTCCCTCAGGTAGCGTTTCTGTCTCGTTGAATGACACCTTAACCGAGCTCACGTTTGACTCTCCGGCCGCGGCGCAAATCACGGTGAGATATCGTCACCGTGACACCGGTCCTATTAGGATGGTGTGAAATTAGAGGCCAGCTTTATCAAGTCAGCTAAAAGAACTGGCCCATCATCTTCATCCTCTGGCTGCAATAAAGAACAGTCAGTTGTAATTCAGCAATGAAATGAGAGAGGGAGAAGGAGAGAGAGAGGAGAGGGAGGAGAGAGAGGGAGTCTTTTGCTGATACAACAAGCCAACAGACTAGAAGGGTTTGAATGCCCCGGATAAAAGCTTTCACTTTGGTCAGTTTCAGAATATTAATATTTTAGAAAAAAGCGCCTCACCTGACATAAATATGGCGTGGTCTTTAATAGCTCCCCTCCCAGTCTCTTGTTTGGGAGTTTATCATAGTGAGAGCTCGCACGGGGGAAGATTCAGGAAAGGTAACATAAATGGGATTAAGGAGAGGTTAAGATCATTCAGTGTGGCTGTTAGAGGGGGATATTAAATATTGATTTATCCCACTGTAATGACCGGGCAGAGGAGTGGGTCTAAGTGCTGCTTACAGATGGATCAATTCATCTTTTCATACAAATTGTATCTGAACAGTACAATGCATTCCTCCCTCACCTTTATCACTGCGACTCCCTCTCTCTGCCTCCTCTCTCCTCCTCTCCTCTTCTCCTCTCCCTGGCCGTTGACCTAGGAGAACACAGTGAAGATCAGACTCTCTGCTCTTCACTATACGAGCCTTTAACCTGAGGACATGTAAAATATTCATGCTTAACAGGAGCGGATTTTCTTGCTTGTCTTTTTTATTTGTCTGTTTTTACTATATCCCATCAGTACAATAAAACCTTTTACAACCCTTCTGCAATTTGCCTTTTTGAAATATTTATCTAAAGGTATTATTGTCTGCGGAGGGCAATTACTTTGTTCCATTATTTACCATCTCCTCCTCCTCCTCCTCCTCCTCAGCCGGTGGAGGCTTTTACCTAGAATGCACCAGTGTGCCTACAGTCATATACGGCACATCCCGGCCCATTTGTAACCATCTGAATTGTTTCCCTCTATTATGCGCCGCAGCTATAACTGGACACGCTGCGTCTCAGGGTCACGGGTGAATAAATATCAAGCATCTGTGTGTGTTTTCACTCACATGCTAGCATGCAGAGATTCAACCACGTCGCGGTCTTGTCATCAACATTTATGGCCCATTGGAATATATAGCCAGCAGGTCAGAGATGAAGTGCTTCCTACTAATACACTTTCACCGGCTCAGCAGAAACACAACAATCATGTTAAAGACACTTAAGGAGTGTAGTTTCATTAAAAGCTGGAATTCAGTTACCATATTTAAAAAAAAAAAAATCAAATAATCAAACAACAGGTCGATATTTCCAATTAATAATCTGTCCCATGTGACAGTCCTCAGACAGATTATAAGCTCATATGGGGACATGATATAAATGACATTCAGTGTAACGAGCAGCCGCGTTAAAGTAAAATCAAACTACGAGGCCGAGTTCAAGTTTGTTTAGGAGAACGGCTGCATTTCCAGCTCGCTTAGCAAGTACAGCGAGGTGTCGTCTCAAACATCGATAGCAGAACTATCCATGAAGTGTAAATTGTAAATTGCCCGTTAATGAGCGTCTGAATTCCTCCCACTAAGAAAACACAGGCAGCAGAGCGCTAATTCAATTATCAGCCTCGGCAATTGTTATCTCCGCCACTAAAGAGGAGAAAATCTATTTTAATTCCATATTTCCAGCTTTCATCTCTCGTGCGCTCACTCGTCGGCCAAACCTACAGTCTGCTGGCCCAGGAGAGCCGGCCCTGAACCCTGAGTAGGACAAAGCGGTAGAACGCAGCATATGTGATGTCCTGGAGGTTGTGTGAGATAAAATATATTCCTGTGCTGACATGTCCCTAACTGGAATCAAAAGGTGAAAGGTCAGTGTATTAACCTATTGAACTGCCCTTTCTGCCCCACTACACCTTTTCTCCCCAGTATTGATGACTACAATTGTCCATTTCCCGTATCCCAAAGCTCAGCCTGTAAATATTCAAATGGAGCTTACACTGGTGCTCCACAGAATCCAGACTCCTAACCTATTGGTTATAGTGGTTATAGTGTCCTCCCCTCCTGTGTGTGTGTGTGTGTGTGTACATGCCTACATGCACTTGCAAGTGTGTGTGTGTGTGTGTACGTGATGCCAGGGCTCTATTCAGGCAAAGCCCTCACAAAGACTTTGAATATAATCTTGTCTGGTTTGCAGCCCTGGAAGCAATTTTCTGCTCCTTTTCGACTGCTGTCTTGGAAATTGCAAACCAAGGCATTTTGGCTGCAATGTAAATCCTTGGCATACAAGGGTTTGCCCATCCAAATTAGATTATGCTCAGCTCCCAGACACTGGCTGTAGCCAGCAAGTGCTATTGTGAAGATTGCTTACATTAATGCTTTGTCCAATTGTTCGCGTTTGCCAAAAGAATAAAAAATAATGTACGACTCTGGATAAAATGTGCGTCTGCGGGCTGCCGTCCCAGGTCAAGTCTTTTGCTCTCCCGCCTCGTCCCCAGAAAGACATCAGAACTGCATCTTGGTGGGGTCATTCTGGCTGCGGCGGCTCCATTATTTTCTACAGTTGTCATTTAAACGCGGCGAATTTCTGGCCAGCTGCAGTCGCTCAGAAATGCTGCTGGCCCCGGTGGCTAGGACCTGTGATGCCGCACTCACCACAAGGCACATACAACAAAGGACAGGGAGAAGAATGGGCTACAAAGGACCATTTATAGTCTATGGTATTGTTGCAGGAGGAACAGAATGGCTCCGGTGTCCAACAAGTCTCGAGGTCTTGTCCATACGTGAAAGGGATTTTGGGAGCGCTGCAGTTTCTAATATCCTGCTGGAGGGTTTGATAAGACCAGAGACTTTAGGGAAACTAACACTGAACAGTTGTGGAACCTTGAGGATTGGAAACCCGTAGAAGTGCACGAACACAAATGGTCTCAGCAGGGAGGAGAAAATCAGAAATGAGCAAAATGTGTCTGAGACATGATGCTTTCTATTCTATGAGCACTGAAGCACATGTAAGCTTAATGGAGAATACCATAATATATGATTAGTTAATAAAAACACTAACATGTAAAAGAAAGTCAGCTGTCCAGACCAGATGCGTATTTCTAATCGTCTCATTTTGTTGGTGTGTCCGTCTAACAACAAAAATACACACAAAACACAAACTTATTGTTTTGATTAAAAACAAACAAACACTGAATTGGCACGAAGCCCAGACGAGGCGAGCGCCCGGCGTTATTTTTACGTAGTCGAAGCGCCTTAATTTAATTAAAGGGCTGCCTTCTTACCTCCATTCTGAACAAATGAGGTGATGGCCTGGCAGAACAAATGGGCCAGAAATAGCCGGCCATCTCTGCTGTGTGTGACGTTCAGTACGACCACTACAGAGCGGACGCCAGCCTTTTGTGGCTGCTACTGTTGATTTTGCTGCTGCCTGCATTAGCCTTAGCAAAAGGACAGCTACGGGTAAAAAGAGAGGCTGCATGAAAAGAGCTGCGGGTTCACCGCATGGCTGGATGTACTTAACATTTAAACGGTTCAGAACTAGCAAAAACTACTGGAAAGCTGCAGACTTATAAATAACACTGCAACTGGTTACAATAAAAATACGAACCAGATGAGGCGCTGAGCTGCGAGAGGCTGCAGCCCTATTAAAGTGCAGCCTTTGTCTCCATCAGGCCTGGGACAGATTGTTGAGGGGTTTAGTCTGAGACCCTCCGAGTCTTCACTCAAGAGCTGCAGACCACAGTGGTGACTGACACTCGATACACAAAGCCCCGCATTGTGGTCTGAAGCGTTGCCTTCGACTCGCCACATACCAGGTGTGTGATACAACCAGAGCCGGTTCGGTGCATTATCAGATATAAGTGGCTGTTTAGGGTCCTGCAGCTGTTAAAGGGTCCAATCAGGAGATTTTAAACATATGCGATCGTATTCTGTCCAACGTGAAGGAAAAATGGATGAGATTTAGTTTGAATAGCATGAAAAAAAACCTGCTGTCAGATTTCACAGAGCGGCCTAAACATGTCATTTACTGTATGTATATATACACCTACAGCCAAAAAATAACCAGACTGTTATGTGACTGTGAGCTGGCCACTGGTTGCTCCTTACGTTGGATCACGTCTGCCAGATGTCCAAAAGAAATGAAGCAGTTTTCTGTCAAAGTGTTCTGGCGAGCGGACGCGGCGGTTTCATCTGTGTCATCTGGTTTACCTCATCGCCTCTCTGACACGGCGTCAGATAACTTTGTTCTCCGAATCACACAAGCTGGACCGTTTCTGACCTGGACCGAGGGCTTGTAGTTAGCATTAGTCGAGGTATTAACAATCTTTGGGAGTGAGAAATAAAGACCTGTCCGGCTCGGCTCAGCTCAGATTCTGCACGACCAAAACACACACTGTATTTGCGTTAAATCGACTTCTTATTAAGTGATGTGTTTAAAGTCATACAGATGAAGACAGTTGAACAAACACAGTCTGTTTTACTCCTCAGTGTGTTTTTTCCTCCATCTGTATTTGAATAATCTCAGGCCATACCACTCCGCCTGCAGCCTAAAGCTATTTGCGAAGGAGAGAGAGAGTGAAGGAGTGTCAGGATTGGCAGTGTGTTGCCTAAATATAGGGCAGGAGTAGGCACAATGCAGAGGGCCGTCCGCCACCCGCCTCTGCCCAGAATACACCCTGTGGGCAGAGCAGCAGGCCTCCGGCACATGTTCTGCGGCCGGCTAGATTAAAGCTCTCTTTACAGCATTGACAAGGGCTCTTTTGGGTTCCCTCGCCCAAGAAGTTCCATGAACTCTGCTATCTATCCCCCCCTCCCCTCCTCAGTTCTGGTTTTTTATGACTTCCCTCTCTTCCTCTGTGACTCAGCCTTCACTGGACCGGCTCAGGACTGAACCAATGCATCTGTTACCAAAACTTTAAAGACAAAAGGCTGCACAGGCGCAGGCAGATGAGATTATTGTGGGTGGCAGCTCTCCACTACAAGTCGGAGTGCACTCGCTGCTGTAATTTTAGTTGTGGGGTGGAGAGCGTGCGGCATGCTGGAATCATTTAAGGGAGGGACCGTTTGCTCGCCAGCAGTCGTGGTCAGGGTGGGAGGGGAATAATGTGCACCGTGACATCTTTTGTTTCCTGTCTCTTTATCTTCTCAATTTGTCCTCCTTTGTTTGGGCCTGTTTTTTTTGTTTTTTTGTCGCATATAGCAGCATAAAGTTTGGGTGTTTCTGCTTTAAAAGCCTCCTGCCCTTCCCTTGTGCTGTGCATTATAAATACCTTTTTTATATCGGCCATATACTGAAGGGCTCCGTCTTTCCTCCTCCCCTCTCTCCCTTCCTGGCAGGATGGCGAGCTTTCCCCAGATACTGCATGTCCTTTGCTACTTCTCTGTGTCAGAGTGATCAGTAAAAATTTAATGACACTATAAAATAATAAAACTGCCATTAATTTATCACAGCACTTGATGCGTGGGCAGTAAAGAAGCATTAGTTCACTGAATATTTTCCAACCTTAAAACAAAACCCTGATGCCGTGCGGATAATTTACGGCCCTAATTTCAACTCTATTTCTAATTCACTGATATAAATTACCAAACTTATAACCAATAAGTATATTAAGCCCAGTATATAAAATTTTATGAAAATTTGTGGTAGCATATTGCACAGATAGTCTGATGTTAATTAGCATAACTAACACGGGAAAGAGAGGAATACTTACAGTGATTACACCCCTACAGTGTGTACGATGCTGCCTGGTGTGATGTACATACGTGGACCAGATGAAGTGAAGCCCAAAGAAGCGTCAAACAAGAGCTCCGTTCAGTCTTATTCGGGGCTGTCTAATGCCACTAATCATACGACTTTGTGCGGCGGAGAAAGAAGTTCAACGCCGATCCAGTTATTAATGAAAGCCGCTGATGGATGGGCCCTGTTCTCGCTCCTTCTCGGCCCAACATGATGCTTAATGATCATGAGTTTATAAAAGGACTTGATTGATCAAGAGGGACCAGCGAAGCGCAGAAGAGGGACGACGTGACTGCTTTATTACAGACACGCTGCGTCTTCCTAGTGGACTGTCCATGCGGCATCCGAAGCAGCACCGCTGCCCATCCAGCTAATCGCATTTTAGTCACTTTGTCATCAGGCTGCTAGCTTCTTTCATTAAGAGCAATAATGTGGCGGGGTGATAAATACGCGAGCGAGTGTGTGCGCACATGCTTTGCACCGAATGTGACACGGAGAAAGGCGCCGCACTCCATCTTCTCTTTACAAAGTGTCCTCTTGCTCAGCAGGGACCACCACATATGTCATAATTAGAAAACACTTAAGTAAGCAAAGGGCCGTCAGATAGACAGCCTCTAATCACAGGCCATAAGCAGGTAGTGGTTAATTGTATATCAGAATCACTCAGCTGGCCATAAATAATGACTGCTCCTTCAAGTAAGATGCTAAATTGCAGTGCTCTTTCTGTCTCTCTCTCGCCGTCCTTTCTTTTGAGGAATAGTTCTTGAATAAATAAAAGCATGAGGAAAATCAAAATACTGTGAAAGGCCTCAAATGGACTTGAACTGTCTCCATCTTGTCATATTTTTTTAACTGTCAAGAAAAAAAAAAAGAAAAAGGTTGTACAAAAGGGGAAAAAATATTTTTCTTCTTCTTCTTCTTTTTTTTTTTTTAATAAATGCACTGATTTCTTTTGACTATTGTTGATTTTATTCCCCAACAAAAATAAATCAATTCAAAACTAAATGTTTCCAGTCACAATGGTTAGGTCTGCTTAATTTTTCATCACCTTTACCGTCGGTGTACAAACTTCTCTGTGGGGAGAGAAAACAGTGCGATGCATCACAAAGGACGGGCTCAAAGATTAATGTGTGTGTTGGTGTCGGTGTGTGTGTGTGTGTGTGTGTGGCAGGGGAGCTGTTAGCATTGTGCAGGGACGCTACCTGAGTGTCTGCTCAGGCTGCACGTGATAGGCCGGTTCAGAAAGAGACGAGGCAGAGGTCAGCGCAGACAGTACGTCTCTGGCAGAGATTGAGCGCGCACCCTGGGAGTAAAACAAATGCTGTTTTTTTTTTTGTTTTTTTTTCCTGAATGGTGGCAACATGCCTGCTTTTAGTGTCATCCAGGCAAAACCTAGGGGGGGAGAGATTATTTGTATCATGCAGAGTCAAAGTGTCCATCTCCTAGTTGAGTCTTTAGAGAGGAAGACAGCCCTTTGCTAATGCCCTGTGTATTCACTGAGGAAGTAGGTCATTCAACAATGGAGCCAGCAGCAGTCGGCACTCTCCCCTTGCATAATACATTAAGTGTAATGTGCAGCAACTATTCAGAGGCCCCCCGAAAGCTGTTATTTTATTCTGTAAATGCACACGGACATGACATTTAATATTGTCACGGAGCGCTGAATGACAGGGTTTCATTGTGCGTCAAGTACAACATGATGCCAAGTTTAATCTGAGCACAAAGCGACATGACAAACGGGAAAACACGGTGTGTTCTCCAAAGCATGAACTCTGAATAAATGATGGGCGCTGAGCTCTGGGCGCTGCAGACTGCAAGGGAGGATGTAAGGAGAAGATTACAGAGGAAAATCTGAGCGCTGCAAAGAGGGCCACGGCCCCATTGTGTGCTCGGGATCACAAAGTATCCTTCTGTAAATCTATTTAGAGCACCCCTGGCCCTCACTGTCTCCCTGCCTCCTGTCATCCATTATAGCAGCTGCTGAATAGAGAGATGAGGGGGAAAGAAAAAAAACCTACATCTAGCTCATGTCAAAAGAGCAGCTCTTCAAAACAACCTGCATTTATCAAAGACACTTTTTTTTTTTTTCTTTTCACATTTTCTGATTCCTGATGGGAATATTTTTACAATTTTTTTTTCTTTTCTCCATCGCAAAACGTGTACATGTGCTGGTTCGTTTAACCGACTGTTTGTATTATTTCCCTGCAGGAGAGAGCGCACTTCGACAGCATCGGGCACCACCTCGGCAAGCTGGGCGAGGAGGGCAAGATCGGCCACAGAGTTATCGACCTCACCCGGCCAGAGGATCTAGATGGTACGGTTTTCTGTTACTTCTAAATCAGCTGGTTTCCTCTCGATTTGCTGAACATTAAGGGGACTCAAGAATACACCATCTCCTCTAAACTATTTCTAAAATTAGTTTCGAGGGCTGACAGAAGCTGCTGCGTTTGTCTCGGCTTTCAATGCACAGCGGCTGGTGTGTCTGGGCGTGTGCACAAACATGTAGGTGTGCGTATGGGAGATGTGGGGGTTGGGGTGAGCGCCGTTTGAAATGAGCCGTGGCTCCGAGGTTTTCACAGGTAGGTGAGCGGAGGACAAGGGTGCCTGAGGACAAAGCTGGCTTTTCTCCAAGCTTGACTCCTGTTGCTGTCGTGCTTGTTTGAGGTCCAGGGCACAGGGGTGTAAATTCTGATTACACCAATGTGACAAAGCGTCATCTGCTTTTGTGGTGCTGGCTCCTACACAGAAGCAAGAAGCACCTCGGCGCACTAATGTTTGTCCGGCATAAATATTTGTGGCAGTTTCCATGGCACTTCAGAGCGAGAGCAAAGAGGAAAATGGTTCTGACTCATCTCTGATGCCTCAGAGAGACTCAAGGCAGAGGGATAGATATTTCTCAGGACAATGTAACCCATCAGCATTTTTAAATAGCATTTCAGACATGGGTCTTTTTGGTTTTAGAAAGAAGTGTCCCTGCATAATTGGTTCACACAGACTTTCATAAAAATAAAAAAAATTCCCATAAAAATGTTTGTTTACCAACTTCAAAGCGAATGCCTTTTTGAAAGCCTGTCTAGTTTCACATCACACCCAATCCTGGAGATGAGAATTAGAGGTGCATTTAGCGGATTCATTGACATGTTTCCCATGTGAGCCGCCGCAGAAGATCCCATCCCACCCGTCTGGACAGATGTGTTTCCAGTGCTCCTTCTCCCAGTGAGAACCTTCCCTCTGTGGCTACTGTGGAGTCAGGACCGAAACAGAGCGCGCACCAGGGCAGTTGTGTCCTTTTAAGTCCTGCTCAGAGCCGAGGGAAAGGCTAGTGCCAGACGCCTCACATCAGCGTTCCCAGTGGGCTATGGATTAGGAGCAGGCAGAGGTTAGAGGAGAGGAGAGGTCCTCTTCCCAGGGGGAAGCAGCATAACTCACAGTTAACCATTCCTGCTCTCGGACCACAAACACATCTGTCTGTCTGTCTGTCTGTCTGTCTGTCTGCCTCTTTAAGCCTCACCAACAGGAAGACGCACACACAGCTGAACGATGTGAAGCACAACTTTAAGAACCACAAAGTGTTTGCTCTTCTGAGAACATGTTTACTTTTGAAATCCTTGTGAGGATTTTCTCCTCCTCGAACCGACGGAGGCTTCCCTCCCTGGGACACCTTATAGGAACGTAGTGCACGTGTCAGCTGATCACCTGGAAAACACTCATTTACAGGCCAAAGCTCAGGCAGAGGTCACAGCAGAAACTGAACAGTAGTCAGGGGTTTTTTTAGGTAATAATACAGACAACATATCAGCATCATCGGTTTAAATCTGCTTCCAATTTTTTAATTCATATGAAACAAGAAAATGACTTTCAGCTCAAACTAAGCCCAGTTCTATCCAGAAGAAGGGAAGCTAACTGGGAAACTTCTGTTTTTAACACGTTTTTCCACCAGCAGATCAAAACACGCTGCATATACTTTGGTGTTTCCTGAAAAGGAAAATTACTGGGTGTACCTCCCAACCCGTCTATAGGGTGTGAAAGCCCCTTGGTGTGCAGCAGCTCTCCCTCCAGAACAGAGCAGCCACACTGAGCAGGCACAGTGCACAACTGTTATCGCAGCAGAAAGCTTTAGGTTGCTTAGGCTAATATTTGCAAAGCAACCAAAGTCCGAAGATTGGAAAAAAAAAAAAAAGAAGAAGTGGCGAAGGAATAGGAATAGATAGGATCATTAAAGTCAGGAGCCACACGCCTGATCCCACTGCAAATTCATTACGTCTTTTTAAGTCCTGATGAAAACATGAACAAACACCGCAGAAGCCTCAGCCAGCCACGCCCTCCGCTCATTCACATATGGCAGCGTGGAGCTGCCGTATAGCTTAAGTTGTGTGTTTGTCTAAACCGCCCCCATCGCTGAGGGGTCCGCAGAGAACAAAGAGGTTGTTGAGAGATGTGTGGAGGCAGGAAACAGAATTAATCTAAACGCCCAATGAGATAATATCAACCAGAGAGAGATGGGGGGAGAAAGAAAAAAAAGCCAAGAAGTGTCTCTAACAAAGTCCTGGTGGAATAGTTTGAGCAGAACAGTGGAGTTGCATTGTAGTTACAGATCATCTTCACATCTGTAGCTCAGAGCTGTTATGAAGCGCTGCATTGGGCCCAGCATTTGAAGAGGTTCTCGCTGTTGTTTTTCTTCCACTGTGAGGCCGTGGGAATCCAGCTTTGGTTTTTATTACTGAGGGTTTTTTCCCCCACTTAGACGAGGAGCTTAAGACGAAATAATTGAACAAGTCACAACAACAATAGGTCAAGAAATATCTGTTTGAAGCTGCTAAATCTAAATGTACCCCCAACAGAACCAACATGTTCCTCTGTCTGCGCGTGCATCTCCTTTTATCGTGTACGAAGCCAGAAAGTTGTGGAAACACCAGCCTCGGATCTTGTGCTAAGTGCACAAGGCGGCTGTCGGAGCAGACAAAAGTAAAAGCGGCGGCCTGCGTGTCGGAACAAGCCGACTGTTTGTTCGCTCACACAGTAACACACCGAGGCGGGAAAACAAACAAACAAACCAGGAATACCGATTGACATGTAATCATAGGGCTGGTATCACTCATAATTTGTAACGGTTTAATTAGCGGGCCATGAGCTCAGGCTCCGGCGGGGCCACTGAGGCTGTCCGTCCATTAATCTCGCCTGATCCTGCTCCGAGGGAGAGGCTCTATTGTCGGTGGTAAATGCCTTCAGTCAGAGGTGTTAGATTTGATCCCAACAGGGAGGGCTTGGCAGGTTTGCTCACTGAGGCTCATCCTCTTGAGCGGATTCCTGGGTGACATTATGTGTCTGCCCACAGAACAAAGATGAGTAAGGAGGAGGCGAGGAGGAGGCAAGGAGGCGGCGAGGGGGCAGCTGGGGCAGCGCTACCCTCTGGCTGGGTACCTGGTCGAGTCTGAGCCTGCAGCTCACAGGTGTGATCGGCTCTGGGGCCTCACTAGCCTCTCTCTCGCTCTTTCTACCCTTTTTTTTCTCCCCCTGTTCGTTCTTCCCCCCCTGGCCCCGCCGACACACAGCGTCATTCTTTCACACTGTAATTCATGCTGCTCATCTGCAGTGTTTCCAGGAGAGACAAATTAAAAGGGGATTCTCATATCGCTCTGTCACACTTGAGCTGCGGGCCTCATGAATCACAATAAATTCTATTAAGCAGCACTCCCTCTGTTTGGCTCTCCCGCCTCCCCCGGCTACCACCCGGGGGGCCTGGCCCTGTCACCGCTAAACATCTGTGTTTATTTACACAATCACACACCTAACTAACTGATTCCTAAACGTCCTGCCCCTCCAGGAGAAAAAAAAAAATAGTTAATGCTCATTTGCAAAATGTCAGAGCGGTGTCATGGTTCTCAATGAAAATACAGAAACAATGCCGCGGTAAATTGCACGTTGCCGTTTCTGGCAATTTGCAGCGGACGCCTCTGATTAGGGCACATATATTACAGGGGCTGAACACGGGGGCAGATCTATCCACCCACAAAGCCTCGCGTGATCTTATAGAACGCCAGCCTCTTGTTCCTACTGCGACCAGAATAATTAACCTCGCTCTCTAAGTTTGGCTGCTGGGCTCCTAGACGGTGTGAGTCAGCTCAATACTTTCACTACTTTTTTCTCTTCAACGCATCCAGAATTACAGCACCTGCACCCGGTGGTGCAACTTAAGATGATGTAACACTCCCGTTGTTGGGCTCGACAGCTTTCTGTAGCGTCTGACAGAGTGGATGGGCTCTTTTCTGTGTGCAATCATGTGAAGCAAAAGACCATGCCTCATCTGGATCCCCTCCAACGGGCCCAGTCACGTGGCTGGTTTCCTGGCTAACTATGGATGTGGCACTAGGTGATGGCAGGCGCTTGTTTTGTCCCCCCTCCCCACCTCCCCATAAGAAGATCACCTCTGCCCGTATGCATGCACACCAGTATATAAATTGCTGAATCAGTGTCAGTGATAGAGTAATGGCACGGGAGGCATCGTAAATTACAGCAAGCGATCCCGGGGCGCAGACACTGGCTGTCGTGTCTGAGTGAGCGCCGCGCTCCTGAGCTAATGAATACCTTCATCTGGCCCCGGCAGTCAGCAGATTGCCCCGCGTTGATGGATACTGTCAGCCCGCCGCCACACCACATTTCATTGCACAATAAACATGGTTGTCAAAACCAAACAAAGTGAAATCAATTCATCCTGTACAGTGAGTGCATGCTAAATGAAATTAACGTACTGTGGGGTTTGGTGGCAGCAGAGGTAGTGTATTATTTCTGAATTCATGATGGCTTTAAAGGCCTACAGCATCCGAACGGAGCAAGGCATGGTGGGAAAGTGTTTGTAAAGAGCAGCGAAATCTCTTAAATTTTCAGATTTAGTGCAGATTGCGTGCAAGTGTGTTTATTTATATCCATGTTTGCATGTAGAGGTTTGGAAGATCAGGCTTTAGGCACTATGAGAGAAATATCTTTATCTAATTAACTATCAGGAAGGGGGGAAAAGGTGATATTTAACATTTAAAATGTGTTAAATTTGGAACTTTTATAGAAAATTATACAAGATTAATTTTATTATTTTACTTTTTTTTTCTCCATCATCTTTTAGTGTCATGTTTATTTGCTAAAGAGAAGCACAGGAGTCTAAAACGTCACTTATAAACAACTAAATGGTTCAATTTTTTAAGTCCCACTGGCCTGAACTCTGTGACAATAACTAACGCAGCGTCACAATGTGAACACACACCTTTATGAGCATCCCAGGTGAAGGTAGAGACCATAAACTAAGCTGTTTGTTAAACACGAGCAGGTGAAAATCAGCTGGGCCTCAAACGCTCTCCACCTGTAATACACCAGAGCTATCAGACCTCATTGGAACTTCTCCTGTAACAGCTCTGAAAACAAGACGCACTTCTGTGAAGCGAAGACGCTCGAACTGGAGGTAGAAAAATGGCACAGCGACGTCTTCGGTGATTAGAGCGGAGCGAGCTTTTCTGAAATTCAGAATTAATGCCTGTGCACAGCCCTCCATTACTCATTAAGAGTTTGATTTTGTTTATCAACTGAAATAATAATAGAAATCAAACCCCAGGTAATGTGTGCCAAGGCTGCTGCTGGAGTGGTCTAATGAGAAGGCTTCACATGTGGATGATGAAATATGCATGAGTCATCCCGAGCTTTCTTTTCCAGATTTGAGATCATTAAAGATGTATCGTAGCATATGGAAGGCTTTTTTTTTTGTCTTATTTTTCAAGCCTTGTTTATCAACATGTTTTTGTTTGTTTAAATATTCATACTGCTTTTATTTAATTCTTTCACATCTTACATATAAAAGGAAGCAAATGCGCATGCAAACAGAAATCATTATCAGCCTGATGTACAGTTTAATACTGAGAGAAACTCTCTTATGCTGATTGTGAATGCCCTGATTGAGAAACGGCACTCTGCAGAATCGGCACACTCCCTCCTCGCTGGCGTGTGTGTGTGTGTGTGTGTGTGTGTGTGTGTGTGTGTGTGTGAAGGAGGCAGGAGACACAGTAAGGCATTTATTTGTGCATATATATGTTAGAAATGTACTTTGGAAGAATGCTTTATCAAGGTTTGGCAGAGTTCGAGCTGCCGCCTTGATTTTCTTATTTTACAGACTGCCTCAAGTCTCGTATTAATTATTTATGTTGGCACTCTTTTTGTGGACACTGTGAATGTCAAATTAAAACGTATTTGTTTCGGCAGAGAAGCGCGAACACTCGCAGACAAAACATTTAACTGTGTTTGAAGTCGAAAGTCGTCCTCGTCTGGTTTGGGATAAACCTGAGAGTTGGTTAAAGACCATAGTTCCCACTGCTGGAGCACATAAAGTCAAAGGTTTCACACCCTCCAGAGGGGTTTGTGTTCCTGATGACAGCAGTGATGACGGTGGATGAAGGAGAGTTTAAACACGGCTCGTCATGTAGCCGATGTCCTGCCTCGCTCTCTCTTCTTGTGACTGCTCTGGCTATTCCAGGGTCCAAGGACCTCAATGACTCTGCAGATAAACCCCAACCCTATTATTGTTGGCCAACAGGAGGCGCTGGTTCTACCGAGGCGCGAGTCTTCAGGGAATCCCGAGGAAGGAACAACAACGAGCCGCACATCAAAAGGCCGATGAACGCGTTCATGGTGTGGGCCAAGGACGAGCGGCGCAAGATCCTGCAGGCCTTTCCCGACATGCACAATTCCAACATAAGCAAGATTCTGGGTAAGATCTCGACACCTCCGAACACACCAAACTGGTAAAAACACTTTCCTCAGCTCGATTCTCCATCTTCATCTGAGTTTGTGTCCTGGGAAAATCCCTTAATTAATCAGATTTCAGCCTTGCCAAGCGTTTTGCACATTTAAACGGGTTTATCGCTTTCCGATATGTAAATTCCCGATAAAGTAGCCGGTGTCTGAAGGAGGGAGTGCGGCTCATCTGGCAGGCCACTGTGCATCAGTTCACCTCAGCATACAGATGGATTTATGGCCCATCACTACCATAAGTGTTTGTCATGAAAAATGACAGAGACTAAATGGGTCTTGTCCCCACAGCACCGGAGTCCATACATCAGAGCTGTTAAAAGTGCTGTCATCCATGCCAGTGTGAGGCACTCCACCGAGCTGTTTTACTACACCGGCTTGTTGTTCCTTACTGTTTGACAGTACCGAACAAGCGGCTCAGATGATGTGCACGGGCAGGGCTATCAGGAGGTTGTTGTGGAGCGGACGATAAATCTCGGCCCGTGAATTTGCGAGAAAACTTCTATTAAGGGCGATCCGGTGTTAAATTAAGTCCTGACCCGGTGCAGTAAAATGTGACTGGACGTGCATTATTGATTATTTTTGACGTAATTGCAAATTCCAAACGGGGCTCCACTTTATTCACTGTCACTTAGCAGGACGGGTTTTTTCTAATCGTGAGACCTCGATGTGTGTCGCGCAGGTTCTCGGTGGAAGTCGATGTCCAATCAAGACAAGCAGCCGTACTACGAGGAGCAGGCCCGTCTCAGCAAACTCCATCTAGAGAAGTATCCCAACTACAAGTACAAGCCGCGGCCCAAGAGGACCTGCATCATCGACGGGAAGAAGCTGCGCATCGGGGAGTACAAGCAGATGATGCGCTCACGGCGACAAGAGATGCGGCAGTTCTTCACCGTGGGGTAGGTGCACCAACACCACAACCAGACCGTCTCTGGATAGACCGACTGTACCGGAGCTGTCAGCCTCCTTAGTGAGAGCCTCCATTGTGCTGGAGACAGACATGTGCATTAAAGTCAAGTGTTTTTCAATAGCTGTGATTTAATAAATTTAGACAATAGCAGTCCTGAAATGGAGCATGAAGTGAAGACATTATTACAGGATATAAGCGATAAGTATACACTTAGAGCAGCCTGGAGGGCAGCAGTCTGAAGCTTAACACTTTAATTTACTGTGTGTGGTTAGCAGGAGAGCCCTTCTCCAGGTGTTCCCATGTCAGTCATAAGCTCCGCTGGCTGGAGTATCAATCATCCGGCACAACAGCAGACAAGAGCAGCACTAACCGCGTATTGGTTTTATGTCACCAATAAACCGGGTCGTGTTTCTGAACGGCTCAGAACGGGAGCTGTCAGGAGGACCTCTCTTTTCCCAAATCATTTCCACAGAGCTGCTGGCTTAGAGCGGGCTGCTGTGGGAAACCCCTAATCCAAGCATCTCAGCTTAAGTGCTGCAGCAAAAACTGCAGTTTAGAGACGTGCAGAGGCGCTACAGCTTTCTGCATTCTTTCCATCTGTTCTTCTACAATTTTTAAAGACCAAACTTGTATGAAAAGTAAGTCGTCAGAAGGTATAAGGTTCGTTTTTTTATCAGACAATGAGCATTTTTTTGGTAGGAGCTGTTTTTACCTTTGACATGTTTCCACTGTCACTTCAGTCTTCCTCAGAAGTGTCACTGATCTAAGTAAGTCATGTCTTCATCAGCTGCTGGTTTCCTGGAGGCGTGACCCGCCTGGCAACCTGTCAGATTTGCCCGATGGGCCACGCCTCCTGCCCCCCGGTGGTCCCATGTGTGGGGCAGCATGTTGCCCCCTCATCACGGTTCACGGTGTCTTTGGCTCGCCTCCTGGTTTCTATGAGCCAACGTTTAAATTTGTTGCTCTCTAATCCAATGAGTAATCAGAGTAGACAAAATGAACCTAATCACGCCAAGTCATCACAACAGATTGTGAATAATCCTTATTTTATCTGCTCCTTGTGCGTCCAGGCAGCCGCCGCAGATCCCCATCACCACCAGCACCAGTATGGTCTACCCTGGGGCCATCACCATGGCGACCACCACGCCGTCACCTCAGATGACATCCGAGTGCTCGAGCGCCTCGGCGAGTCCTGAGCCTTCCATTCCCGTCATCCAGAGCACCTACAACATGAAGCTAGAGCCCAGCGCCATGGCGAACAACAGCGAGCCGGTCAACGGCGAGGACGAGATGGACATGTACGAAGATTTCGAGGACGAGCCCAAATCGGACTATAGCAGCGAAAACGACACGCAAGAGCCGGTGAGCGCCAACTGAGAGCGACGCCGACGCGACGCCGACGCAGGACGACGCCCAGAGGGCCGGTCGGATCCGAGGGAGGGAACGAGCAAAAGAAAACAAAAACTATACCACAAAGGTTTCAAAGTGTTTTTAAAAAATAATAATAGTGATGATGTATCACGTAGAGGCCAGCATGCAGCGGCGGCTTCGTCCGAATCAAAAAGCTATTTGGTCTTAAGTGTTTCTTGGAGTGTGTAAAGCAGTTTGGTTGTGGTAATTTATATTTTTTTTTATCTCATTGTTTATTTTTTCATCGAGATCATGGACATTTACACACGTGTGAGGTTATTGCCTAAAGCGACAGACGGAACTTGAAATTGAACATTTGATACGAACCTAGAATTCTTACGGTCATTTGTTTTCCTCTTCAATTAGACATGAGTTTGCTACATTACCTAACTGTTCAAGATGGAAATGCTATTCTCACTCAGGTATAGTGTGCCAGCCAACAGCTTGTGAATGTTTTTAATCAAGAGAAAAATATTACCATTACAAAATATCTCAAAATGAATATGGAGTGATTCCAGTTTAGTACAGAGGGTAATTACACATTATTATTATTATTATTATTATTATTATTATGATTTAGTTTGCCAGCCAACAGCTTGTGAATGTTTTTAATCAAGAGAAAAATATTACCATTACAAAATATCTCAAAATGAATATGGAGTGATTCCAGTTTAGTACAGAGGGTAATTACACATTATTATTATTATTATTATTATTATTATTATTATGATTTAGTTTTTGTTGTTGATTGTCATTACAAAACTGCATAATTTAGTGCGTAAGTGCCAAACATTTCAAACCTATTAAGTCTTTTGGGAGAGGATTCGTGAGTCTTAGACAATCTCTTCATCTCTTAATGCAGCTTCATTATCCAGTCTTTCTTTAATTCACCCCAACACGATAAACAAATGAAACTCAGGAACTTGGAGGCAGCGAGCCCCGCGGGAGGCTACGATACGTGACGCCCGCGGGCGGTAGCTCGTGACGCTAGCTGCTCTCCAGGGAGGCCAATGCAGTGATCATCAATACAAGCGGCCAGCCCCCCTTTCCGTTTCCCCGTCCCAGTCCAGCACAGAGCGCCGTGGCATCCTTCACTCGTTTCCAGCTCTGCAGCCCAGTCTGACTCACCAAGATCTTAATCAGAGTGATTGTAATCAGGCCAGAATGCTAAAGGGCCAAAGGCCTCCAATCTGCGGGATTGGAACAGCAGCGAAAGGCAGCTTTGGTGGCATTACAATCTCAAATTGATGTCGTACAATGTGTAGCTACAGTAAGTTCTGTTAAACACTTTAGCCCCATTTGGACGGCAAGTTTAAAGTCTTAGGTCTTAAAACGTATTTCTTATTTTTTTTCCTCCTCCAATCTTAATTCTTTTTAGACATTGTAAATCTTAAACTGACACTAAGAAGTCTTAAAGCGGAGCGCGGTCATCGGGTTGATGCAGCGAGTTGATTACTCTGCGAGCAGCGGCGGTTTGCAACGACATCTAAAGGCTAGTTTGTTCCTCAGATTACCTCAAGAAGAAAGGTGACCCAAAACATTGCTTCTTCCACGAGTGCACTTACATGAACTCTCCGTCACCTTTGAGCCGTGTTTTGTCGTTTCCTGATAATCTGATCAGAACCGCACTTATCTGTGGCGTTTAAAGAAGACAAACACAGAGCCTCTATCCTAATTTAGGCTTAAAACCTGACGACCTTCCGGAGACGTCGGCGGGATAAAGCCCCTCTAGCGGCCGGCGCCTTGATGTTGAGACTCAGATCCTCTTTACGGGGCAGAAGGTCTAAGTGGCTCTCCTCCCTGCCATGCCCTGCTCTGACCCCAGCCTGTGGCAACCTCAGCACCCAGGGGGCGCCATCTGGCTCGGAGGAGGAGAAAACACCGGGGAGGGAAGGGAAACAATAAAAGTGGGGTGTGTGTCCCTCATTGTGCTCTCCATCAAAGTGCTGGAAGTGAGGCCTCGACAGGGCTCCCACGCTGGCCCGATCACCAGGCGCTGGCGAGCAGATGGAACAAGTACATCAAGCTGTGGGGGATTATTAAAATGACTGACGACTGGGTATCATCTGAAATACAGCATTATTAATGCATGAGTCCAGCTATTCCCCTCCCTTGCCCTTGAACCTGTCCATTTCAGAGAGAGTGCAGAGCTTTTTTTTTTTTATTTCTGAAGGTTCTGAATGGCTGGTCATTGGCTTGAACGGGTCAGGACTCCCACTGCTGGTCACTGCATTTCTCTCCTGGCTCTGTCCGCTACAGACGGCTCTTATCTTCTGTATTCTTATTTTTAAACATCCACATTAAGTTCTTTTCTTCTCCCCTCCATCGCATCTTTGTTCTCGTTTTGAACACGTTTTAAAGGACGCTCTCTCTCTCTGTCACGACACACAAACCCAAGTGGACTTCCCTCCGACTCGACCCGTTTGGTATTTTTTAACCTGTCTGCTCCTGTTTGCTGGCGGTTCGGTTGATTTGTATGTGATTGTAAATATTTCCGTGACCACGCCACACCGCTTCGGTCGGCTGGCGGTTGAACAACGGGACTCTTCACCTGAACTGAAACTTGACTGATATAGCGGAGAAAAAAAAAAAAAAGAAAAAAGAGAGAAAGGACAAAAAAAAACAACAACAACAAAACAACAAGAACTCACGAAGAGACGATGTTTCATAAGTGTTATAAGCACTGGATATAAATTGTATTTTTATCAATTCTGATTAATGTGAAGCTGTTTGAGGAAAAACACCATGAATGAACAAAATCCCCCCGTCGGACTCGAGTGGGTTTGCTCTCACAGTTACCAGATTTGAGTCTTTTTCTTTTTCTTTTCTTTTTTTGTCTACTTATTTTGTTTATTTATGCAAAGACACATGTGATGAATGAACACTTTGTTTAAGCTTCAGGGCTGCCTAGAGGAGAGACTCAGCACAAGAACCGTGAGCAGAGAACCCAACAGCGGGCTCGGTGAGCCTCGGAACACCTTCAGACTTCAGTGCATTGTATATTGTATTTGAAACTGTAGAGTATCAACATATTGTATTTATTATCAGCCAACGCCGGCTCTAAAACTGTCAGTAGAACAACAACTTGGACAATCAGAGGAAAAGAAGAAGAAGAAAAAAATTGAAGAATTGGAGCTAAAAAAAGAAAAAAAAGTGGTTTTCAGTGAATTCACCATCTCATTTAGATTTTATTGTAAATAACACATAGGAAATATATTTTTGTTCATTAGTGAAGTATAAGTTATGTATTTGGCTGTTTGTTTTCTTTTTCATGTTTTTATTTTTGTATGTGGTTTCATGTTTTAAAAGCTGACAAGTCACTGTACCTCATATAGATGCTGAATTTTTTGTTTTTGGTTTCTGCTTAGTGGAAGCGACACAGAGAGAAGCACCTCACCTGCTTACCTAACCCCTTACCTGGACTATCGAACGAAGCCACAAAAAAGCTCTTCGTCAAGTACGGTACTAATTTAAACAAACGAGCACTTGATGGAAACGTTTCCAGCCGATCCAAGCGGTATGCTGTATATCCTCACCTGTGTTTTGTGTTCATTGCAGCACACGTAGTAGATTTTCTAACGAGGAGCTGATATCATCGGATTTAAAATAAAATTAAAAAAAAAAAAAACCTGCATGCATTTGGCTTGCATTTACATTATTATAATAAACAAAGGTGTTCTTTTTTTTAATGAATGACTGTTTCCAACACGAGAAATGTTCTTAAACGTGGGAGCGTGCAAGTATTTATTTGTTTTTGATTTTTTTTTTTTCTTCGTCAACTCTCTCCTTCGCCATCAACTTCTAACGAACACGACTATCCCTCACGATTTCACTCAAACGGTTTGAATGAACAACTGAAGACAAAAGCTTCGATGCTGTTTCAACATTACTTACTGTAATTAGATTTTTCTTTTTGTTTTTTTGTTTTCGTCTGAACCTTGTGATGTATATGGTGGGAATGTTCTCTGTGTTAATTTAATCAGCACAATTCACTGACATGCTGGACTGACATGCTAGCTGCTGTTCAGAAGTGTACAATTTGTTGTTCGGGGCAACTTTTATCGTTGTCTTTGGTACTTTTTTTTTTTTTTTTGCTTTTTAGAGTTGTCTCTCAAGCAACACTGTGTGGGGCTCTTCTATCACTGGAGCCAATGTTTTTGAAATTGCTGGCAGCCTGATACGATTTTCCGCGTAGAAATCTTCTTTTTTTGTTTGTTTGTTTGTTTGTTTGTTTTCCTGGCAGGTACCTAGGCCCATGGCAAGTATTGTTTGGGTGTTATTAGAGAAAATGAAATACATAGTGTCTGTTGCTGCTTTCGAGAAAAGAAAAAAAAAAAAAGTTTATGTCTGAATATGTAAATAGTTTATCATAATATCTTGTACAGTCCAATGTAAAGTTTTTAATTCAACTTAAAAAAAAAAAACCTGTTGCCATCACGTTTGTGTTCACATTCTTCTTTATACAGTACAAAAGGTCAATTATTTGCTAGGGGTATTATTATTATTATTATTGCTAAAAATGGAGAAAAAAAATGAAAAAAAAGTGACTTAATTTTTTATGTTTGTTTTGTTTTGCTTGGCTTCAAAGTGTACACCAGCAAGTCTTTGGTTTCCATGTGCAGTATTGACGTGAGGTAAACTTAAAGTGAATAATTTTACATTGGTGTGTGTGGACAGAGCGATCTCCGTGGCTTCGGTAGTATCAATACACTATATCAAGTAAAAAAAACAAAACCAATGATCCACACATTTGGCTGCGTCCAGGCGCCGCCGCAGGAATGTGTTTACTGTATATGATCAAATTATCCCCGCAGGATCCATCCGGACATATGACGACACCGTGTTCTGTATGTCTCGGCCCGCCGTCACGACGCGGCGGCGGCGGGCTGAATAACTGCCTGTTTTAGCTGATTTACCTCAAGAATTTCTTCCTTTTCTGTAAAAGAGACAGAAATCGTGTTACAGAAAGCTTCTCACATCACTCCATCTTTTGTACTGCTGTTGACACTTACAAATTAAAGAGACATTTTGTTTTAAGATCTGAGTTTTTTATTTTATTGTGGATGCATTCGTTATATTCTTTAGAGGGATTGAAAAAGTTTAAATCGAATATTTGCTGCACAATGAGAACACTTTTTAAACTCTTATGAGAACATCATACGCTCCCTAATTTGTCCTTGTGGATGCTCATTACTCCTAAACATCGGCCCTGACCTTAAAGCGAGGCCACAGGAGGGGAGGGCCAGGTCCGCCCAACATAAATAAAGATAAAACCGCTTCATTGTTTTTGCATTACTTATGAATTTATTTATTTGCATGGAAACAGTGAGGAGGCGAAAATCGATAGACTCTAAAAGGCTGCTGCTCAGGGTTTCCTGTTGCTGCCGTTTCCTTAAAGTCGGTGTAAACAAACGGTCATTAATGCTGCTCCGATGTTAAAACCTTTAGATTAAATAAGTAAACAGGAGGTAGTTTATATATTTACTAGTGGACAGTTACAAT